TCACTCACTCACTCACTCACTCACTCACTCACTCACTCACTCACCACTGTCACCATGATCCCCACCTTCATCACCACCATCACCTCTCTGGACCCCAATGCGTCTAGATCTCTAGACTTTCTGCTTACAGACCTCACACACACACTGTTTGGGGTCTCTTGCTGGGATAATTTTACTTAGGTTGGCGTGTGGCAAGCCGCAATCAGTTCGTACGCATGATCTCCCGAGTGTGTGCCAAACCCTTCCAGGAACACTGCTCAGAATTCGATAGCAGGGGGACCATCCATGTGCTCTGAGCGATGGTCCAATCACGGCTGATCACCGTGACGTACCTCCAGTCAAGAAATCTGTGATTTAAACTGTTTACTTAAATTGCAGTATATTGTTGCGGACTCCTTCACCTTACGGTTTGCACATGGCCATTGACAGGTTCGAGTTCCCTTGCACTAATCGGCTAACGCAGCAACTAGATCGATCTAGATCGTAAAGTGTTGATGCACTCTTGGGACCACCCTGAATTGTGCTCTTACAAGCTCTTTCTCAAGCGGGTGGGGTGGGTGGGTGGGTGGGTGGGTGGGTCTTGGAATGGAAATATGGAGAAGGACCTGCAAGGTGTGCAGGGTGCCAAAGTTCACACCTTCTTGCTTGATCGCTTGGATCATCAGCTTTAAAGAAAAGCAAGGTGGGATAAAAAATGCTCAAGCCAACATGAACGGAAAGAGTGCTCAAGAAGCCTCCTTCCCCAAGTCGATCCCGATCTCTTCGACCTAGCCACTCAATTGGAGGGGAACCCTCCAACCAGCAGGTGCTCATTTGATGAGTTTGGGTTGAGAATGGTCAAGGACACAGCCACTGATGGATGGAACAAACTGAGGGATGTCTACGAGATTCTGTACCGGAAAGCACGAAGCATTATGTGGTTGTAGGTTGAGTATGCGGCATGCATCTGACGCTTGCCATGGCTCTCAGTGATTCTCAACTCTCGATCCCAAACCCAAAAGCATGTCTTGTGAAGAACATGTGCAAACCCATGCAAACCCATCGTACATGCATCGTCCCCATCCACACCAATCACCAGGAGAAAACGCCCGCCCACCCCGCCCACAGGTTTTTGTCGGGTCGTATCGCCTCATGATCGAATGGATCGATGAGCAGTACTCTGTGTGCCTAGCATCGCTACGAACCGAGCAAGGATCGGTCGAAAAGGAGCAGTGGATCGGTCGAAATGCCAAGTCCCGAGAGCAGGTCATGGCACGTCATGGCATGTCATGGCCTGAAGGGCCTGAAGGGCCTGAAAGGGGGAAAATGTTGCTCAGGAAAATCGGTGGATGACCCCATGTCCTATGAAAAATAGTAAAGAAAAAGCTCCACCCGACTCTAGTTCTTCTCATCTAGCTTGAGATCTGTTCATATCAGGCCAGCATTTGGTGCGGCCGTCAGTGTTCCAGCAAACTCCGCTTGTTTCACCCACCTCGCCTCCAAAGGTGCACAGTAGATCCGTGCATCTTGGCCGTTGCTTGCACAAGCGTAGAGGGCCTGGAGCACGAGTGGCCCATGGGGCGCTTCGACCCGTTAGTCTCACTGCAAAGGCACCTCTCCGTTGCCGATGCCAGGGCCGATCAAACGACTGACCTGGCGCTGACATATTACGCTCCTCCCACTGCAGGTTGTATGGACTCCAGAAGCATGTGGGGATGATTGGGGATCCTGATGGGGTATATAAGCTACTAGGAACAAGTGCATCGCTACTAGTAACAAGTGCCTTACTAGTAGTAACAAGAAGCTAGTAGTAATTAAGTTTAACTAGAATGAATGGGGTATTCAATTCTCAGTAACGCCCAAATGCGTCCAATCTCGCCAGCGGGAACGCCACCAGGATTGATCTCCAGCACTCTGTTGGCATAGAGCGGAGGAGCCTAGATTCATGGACCGCAGGACATCACTGGTTGGCTCGGCAAATTCAATGGCTTGGCTGGAGAAGGGCACTTCATGGATGGGCATTTACGCAGTCACTTTCGCATACTTTCACCCTCTCACATTCAATGACAGGCTGGAGCTCGCTGACTAGATTGCGTGTCTGTTTCAATTGCTCGTGCTTGCTCAGGGTACCACATAAAGGAGCCGATTTGTGCCTTGGCACACACCTTGGTCCAGCGGACATGCCACAGTTGTTGCGTCTTAAGCTCTTTCCGCGCCCTTCCGCTAACACGGCCACACGAGTGGCAGCTCGTGGCCGCCTGGGCTGCCACACAGCAATACTTCCTGGGCGCTTCTGTTGCATTGCCCAAGTCAGGGCCTATCAAGCCTTAGGCCATGGCGGAAGCGGCAAGCCAATGGGTACGCCAAGTGAACTGTTAGAACAACAGAGTTTTGTGATGAAGGGCTTACTCCAGAAACGTAATAGAATGGTTTTGTAGATATGATCTTCAAAGAATGCGTATTTTAGGATTGAAATCATCAGCGAGCGCCACTGCGACTTCTTTGGGACCTTGTTGTGGTTTGAATCCGTTCGTTACCTTGCAAAGTGGGGTGCTCCGAATTTCCTCCACTCTTATCGGAGTTTTCCCTTCAGCAAACACATGCAAACACCAACAGCAATCTTCTCTGAGTCCACTGCTGACTTCTCCCTTCTCAGAAATTTTCAGAATCTGCAGGCCCAAAGAACCAATCAAACGTGTCAATGGGGAACGAAACATTGGCGGAAAACACCTGGCCTATTGAGTCATCAGATCTGCTGTTCGTCCGTACGAAATAGGTTGAGCTGTGGTGTAACTCGTTGATGGGAAATACACTCTTCCAGGCCTTGCTCGCATTGTAGGGTGGCGCGTAAATGCATCCATTAGCAGCCACCGATGCACAGCTGTATTTTCCTGTCGCCATTAAGAAGTGCTTGAGACGTTTCTTGGAACAAGAAGCTACTAGGTAGGGGCTCCTGACGTTTCTTGGACCCCCTTATGTACCTTACTTGGCCCTCCGTGCGCAAACAGTCACGGCTCAGAAAGGGGTGTGCACGACCCTCCAAGCAGGCAGTGCCAGCGCAAGCAGCGCAAGCAGCGCAAGCAGCGCTAGCCCACCTTCGACGCCTCCAAGATCTGGACCAACCTCGGTGGCACGACCCTGATCGAGTGCAACGAGACCACGCTCCCGCAACGCTGCTCCCGCAACGAGGCCTTCTTGGAGGTTCCCTTGATGGGGTCGATCTCCAAGACCTGTCGCAATGCGAATCCCAAAAGAAATCAGCTGAAAAGAGACGTTGGAACATGAGATGAAAATGAACAACTCAATTGGGATCTTGAGGCCAACTGTCTGAGACTCTACGCTTTGTGCCTTCCAGATTCCAGATCCAACTACTGATGGGCCACCGCGCATTCCGTGCATCCCATGGGATCGCATAGATCTTCAAGGTCTCAAAAAGCACGTTCAACACATGTTGAACTCGACATGCACGCCAAAAAAAACATCCCGAAAGAAAGGATCAACAGAATGGGAAGGACACCATTCTACCATGCTACCTGTCATTCGCAGGAAAGACACCCATGTCTACCAAAGTCTCCTTCCGGTCCCTTGGGTGTCGAAAGTGAGGGCAGCAAACTAAGTGGTGCAAACCAAAGGAAACAATCTCTCTTATCATCTCTTATCTATGCTATTTGGGGTGTTTTATGTTCTTCTTCAGCCATTTCTTTCTCTCTTTTTGTCTTTCTTTCCTCCTTTCATTCATGTCCCCTCAGCATCCCTGGCCGTTGCTTAGCACATTCTTGGCTGCTACGGTACTTTCGATGGATCCGCGACTTACAATTGAGGGATTGGCAATGGGAGATGCCACTGAAGCCCACCAGTCAGCCTGGGCAAAGCTTTTTGGGAAGCCAAAGTTGGAACTTTCAAGGCTGGTCAATCGTTTCCGTTAGTACTGGGGAGTTTTGCATTCCATTATGCAAAAACTCGAGCATTGCACATATTACACACCAGTCCGTGCAAGCACAAACACTGACACATGCCATGCAAATAGTGTATTTCATGAACAACTCCGAGGTAAAACCAAGCCTTCAAGGCATTGTTGAGATTTACTCTAATCTATGACACCTGTGTCGACCTGTGTCGAGCCACCTTGTCGACAACTCCGTCGCACCTTGTCGGATCTTCCAACTCTTCCTCCGACTTCACGGACACTGCCTGGAGGCACTGGTCCGGACTCTCTGGCGTGGAATGTGAAAATGCAGTCCAAGTGAATCTGATCAAATTAAGATCTTTTCGGCTGTGATTAAAGTAAATAGATGCAAATGGCTTGTATTTCATCTATTGTACAATAACAGTTTCACGTATAAGCTTTGATCACCTTTCTAGAAGTGTGGGAGCTGCTGCCCAGGCCTAAACGAGGATCAATCTCAAGGACCTGGAGGAAATGCAAAACTGAGCAGCAAAATGCACCAAAACCGCTGCTCGAGTTGTGACACTCCGCTTCAGTCCCTCAGCCCTCGAGCCCCTGGTCACACTGAGCCGCGTTGCTCGAGTGGCCAGGAAAGGGGCGGCATAAATTCGCCCTTGCCAATTGTGGGAGGCGGCCTCGGCCAAGGAAACTACAGTAACTAGGCTCAAAGCCCAAGCGAGAGTGTGACACTGTATCGAGGCCCAAACGGCTGTGGCATACTTGGTCACCTTCTCTTCCCCCACTGGAAGGCCCACCTATGATGCAATTTCGGATGCGGGAAGAAAGGAAGGTCACAAAGGCCAGGTGGCCTTGGTCTTTGAGCCTTGGCTTGCTTTCCTCAAGCAGAATACACCTCTTCCTCTTCAGCTAGAAACAGTGCCCACTATGCCGGCTGCTTGACATCTGAGCATTGCTCAAAACCTATCGAGCATTTGTTCTAATGGGCTCTGCTTTCGCAAGTTCCTTTCGCAACACTTTCGCGGCTTGCGTTTTGGCTTTCGCGCGCTGCATTCTGTGCAAAAGCACTTTCGCAAGCTTTTGCGGACGGAACTTTCGCCAATGAAAAGTTCGCACAATTTTTCGCGGATCTTTCGCGAAGGCATAATACATTGACCTCTCTTCAAATTGTTACCTGGGATGTTTTGGCCACTGCTCATCTGACTCGCACAAACATGGCTGTTGCCTGCACCACTTTGTCCTGCTCCAGGTCCAGCAAAAGCACGTGACTAGCGTCGTAGGGTACCTATACGTGACAGAGTGACGGCTACCAACTGAATGATGTTGATAGGTGCTGTAGGCAATGAAGACAATGTCACCAGTAAATAGAATCATAGAAGTGACACTCCTTTCAAAGATCGGTGTCAGCTTTTCACAGCTCACCCGCAAACATATACAGTGCGGTGCATCCGGACTATAGATGGTGATATCACTTTTCAGCCACAAATGGTTGCTGCCATAGCATCCATAGCAATGGCTTACCCAACAATAGGTGAACCTTCGAACCTGCCCAAAACAGCTAAGATTCCAGCGCAATAGAATTCATCAGGCGTCACAAGTGACTGGCAGACACTGATGTACTTGCAGCCATCCTAGGAAGAAAGGCGTCTAGTCTCATCCGTTGTGCTGTGAAAGGGTTTATTTATGAGCCTGTTCTCAAGCTGGTTGTTGAAGACCGGCAGCTTTTGGGTTCCAAAAAGCATTAACATGCCATCCTCCATACTAGAACCTCTTGTCTTGCTGAATGATGTTGTTGGGATGTCTACAAAGACTGACAGACACTATGAGAAGCCTGCAGTTCCAAAAAAACACAGAGACAATGGCATCGGCGGACGCCCACGGCGTCGGCGTCTGCCTCTCAAGGTTTCCTCGTGTCCGTCATCCTTCTCAGCGTCCCACGCTGAAGATGGGTCCCACAGGTTCGCAGTGGATGTGCTTCCCGCTCTGACGAACCTGCCACAGCCGTCGCAGTCGTTGAATGTCGAACATGCCTTCATGTCTGGCTGTCAAACATCTGGTCAACGGGCCAATGCGAGCAAAACAGTTTGTGATTCAGTCTGTTCAGTCTGTGGTTCAGGTGATGACCCTGACAAGAAGGAATTGGATGGTTTTTGTGAGACCGTGACAAAACATCACAAAACCATCATCTTACATCTATATAATTCTAGAATATTCTAGATAGGAAAAACTGAACTTGCATCTGGGTCGATTTCAATATCACGGGTGGCCTCAATCTCCATGCATCGCTCAGCGTTTCGAGGGATGCAGTAGAGCCTCAGAGATCAACCTTCAGAACATTAGATTATTGGCCACTTGAGATCCCCAAGTCTCTTTGCCTGCAAGCTTCAAGTGGTGAGCCCAGTGAAGCCCCAAATATGAGCCTTCCTGATTTGATAGTACTGGCCTGGGTGACAAACCTCTAGAGAAGCGGATAGAACTTCAGCTCTTCGGGGGTCCTTCAACCACTTCACTTCTTTCATCTTCTTTTTACGTTGGGCTGCGACAGGCTGAAAAAAATGTGCCAACGACCATCTCAGCTGTTCAACTGGACCCTAGGCTGCAGGCTTGGCAGTCGGCTCGAACTTACCTGCCAATTGGCTGGAAACTGGCCATCTCCTCAAGCCCACTGTTAGTTAGTGTTAACCTCTGACCAATACAGTCCAAAGAAGTGCCCTTGGTGCATCCAAATCTCCAAATCATATAAATGGACTGTGCACTTGACCTTGACACTTTCTCTCTCCAATTGAATACCATTCGACTGCCTTTAGCAAGCTCATGCATACACAAATCACATGTTTGTACTCTGCTTGTCTCCAACTTATGATCCCCACCTTCTGCTCCTGCCTTGCTTTGCTCCCGCTCATGAGCTGCGGCGGATAGCCGTGAATTGGGACATCTGGTTTGGAACATCTGAAAGCGGATCCGTTGGTAGAGGACGGCGTAACACGAAACCAACAAGGCTATCAAACAACACACTTCTGTCAAGCAAGACTCTCCTTTTGGGTTTCTAGCTATGCAACGATCAAGCACGGGTGAATGTATAGCGAAATTTGGCTTGTCACCCACCAAACAATACCCAAACCTCCTGAGGGCAAACAAAACATCAAACTCGATGGAGTTGATCTTTGACAAAGCACTTGCAGCACCCGCTTGGCCTGCAAGTTGTTCCCGCACCTTTTTGGGCAGGACCTTGCCAGCCATCCCAGCGCAGTCTGACGGGCCGAACAAGGTCTTGAGTGCACTTCTACACTACGTATGCAATTGTTGGGAAGCACTAGGACGCTACTAGGGGCTCCTGGCATCGCTACTAGGAGCAAGAACGCTACTAGGGGCTCCTGGCCTTACTACTAGGAACAATAAAGCTACTGGGAGCAAAGGACATCGCTACTAGGAGCAAGGACATGTAAGGAAAAGTGTTCTCGCTTTCTATGTCTGCAGACTTCAAACGCATATTGGTCGACAGGAGGCGCTACCGTGTGCCTTCAGTGCATGGTCCACTTGGCTGGATGCGCAATGCACAGCAAATTCACCGGGACCGACTGAAATGATTGGTAATTGGTCCCAAGTCATGTCCACATGGAAGTCTCACCCCTGCAAGCAACAAACTGCGCCCTCTGGATGTGCTTAGAGTCATTCAGCGCTCTGGATACATTGACATGTTTTGCATCATGAAGGTTCCAAAACTCTATTGGAACAAAGAGGACATGTTCCTGAGTGCACATTGTGACAACAAGTCCCAATTACCATGTAAGCCTCGGACATGGCATGACATGTACAGAAGGCTGGAGCCGAATCAAGACACCAAGCCTGTAGCTGGCAGGGCTGACGCAGGGCGGAAAACTCAAGTCAATAAAGTCTCAGCTTTCGGAATAGGGTTTGATTCTTTCGATTTGCTCAACTCGTGACCAAAAGTATGTTTTGATGTTTAATGGCTAAGCCATCAGTAGCCAACTTGCGCAAAAAGTTCTGAGGGCAAGAGCAAGGTCAGTACCAGAACTAGGACCAATCAACTGACAAGAATATCACTCCACACATTGTTTTGATCAGCCTGAAATCCATTGGGATCCATCGGATCCATCCAAATGTTTCAAGCCATCGCGACATCTCAAGCCCACAGGTTATTGCCAAAGGTGCATTGTTCACGAGTGGCCCCGACAAAAAGATCGCTTCCTCTGATTCGAATCTTTCGGCCTCCGGTGAACCCAGTCGAAAACTTTCGGAGCCAATGCTCAGACAAAGCTTGGCTGCGATTGAGGACTTTCACCGGCACCTTTGCATCTTCGGCGAAAAGACGCCAAAGCCTGAAAGCTGCTAGTCGCCGATTGTCCAGGGAATAGTAGCGATGCCGAAACCAATAGATGCTTAGTGGTCTGACTTGTGATGGAAAGATGCTTCCATCACTCAGCCCCTTTGCCAAGCCCAAAATGTCACCGGGGCCTCCACGCACCGGGGGGCACTGAAAATTGGCACTGCAATTTGCCTGGCTGAAGCCTATGTCCAATGGATCCAAGTGGCCCTCATATCCTGGCGGCCAAGTTTGGTTGGGCCATGGTGGCTCTGCTTCGATCTCTTCAGCAACTCGATCTTCTGCCTCACCCAGGTAAGCAGAAGGCGCAGCCAGTACACCTCGTCTGGCCAAAAGCCGAGCATCTTGAATGCGCTGTGCTGCCTGGGGTGAGCCCAAGTCGTGTCTTAAGACAAAGGTGATCTCCCGCATCAGCTCATCCAGCCGTCGCAGCGCTCGAGTTACAATGCCTTCACCGCCCACTGCGACACCACTGCTGAGCACTGCCGAGGTAAAGTCTTGCCCTGAGGCCCACTGCAAGGCCGTTTCGCAGAGCTGAGGGTTCACCCGGACCTTAATCATCTCCGAGCCGTCACACCGAGAGCTCGACCTCAAGAGTCCGCACTTGCTGCAGCATGGAAGGTTGTGTGAATGAAGCTTTGCTGCCAAGCTCCGTGCCACATTGCGGCACGTTTCAAGGCCTTTGCGAACTTCCAAATCCGATATCTTCAAGCGCTTGTTATCTGACCCCTCAGCCACAAAAGCAGCACAGATCGCAAAGGCCTGTGCAGCAGAGAGATTCTCAAAGCCACGTAGAGCAATAAGAACATTTGTTACAAGCAAAGCATCTTCTGGAACGAACAAGTGGCAGGCCAAAGTTCCTTTTGGCAAAATTGCGCATGACTTGTCCACAAAGTCAAGTTCTTGCAGCACCTTCACCATCCAAGTTGCCTCTTGCTGTAGGGCGATGGCTGCATTTGGGTTCGTGAATCTTTGGAAGCTTCTGTAAAGCATAGTGAAGAGATGTGCTGGGCCAGCAGAAATCAAGTGAAGCAAAGATGACCAGCAGACACGATAGCGACTCTCTACCCCCGAAGGCTCTTCAATGTACAAGCGTTCAAGCACTGTTGTAGCAGTTTGCTTCAAGATCATGGTGTTGTGGAGCATGACATACACATGACCTCTCTGGTCCAATCCACGACGCCCGGCTCGGCCAGACATTTGTCTAAACTCCCCACTGTTCAGTACTCGGCGGCTGCGCCCATCGAACTTCACAACATCGGTGAAGATCACGGACTTGGCAGGCATGTTCAAGCCAATGGCAAAGGTCTCAGTGGCAAAAATCACAGGAAGAAGCCCATCTGCAAACAGTAGTTCCACCATTTCGCGCAGAAGCGGGAGCCTCAGAACCGTGATCCCAGGCCGAGATTGAAACAGTTCAGCATTCCTGTTTGGTCTGCCAGAGTCCGAACATGACCAAGCCAAAGATACACAAATGCGCGTTGAACAAGAAGAAACACAAAAGTAAGCAGGTTTGGTTCATCTGCAACTAGGATGCCTCAGAATGGGCTTAATTGGGTGAACATACGATGGATCAAGTACAGCCATCTCAATCCTGCCATCTGTTGGTTACAGCGCTTCATTCACATGATCTGTGGATGTCTACTAAGATCCCAGCATGCCGCCATGGTGGACACCAATGCCACGCACCAACAAGTCGCATGAATGCCTTACCTGTGCAAGCTGCTTGTCTCTTTCATCAAGACGGGCAAGGCCGGCTCGCAGGCGCTCGCGGATCTTGTTCTTCTTGAAGTTGCTTGAAAAATCCATTCGCTTTGCCCCAGCCAACAACAGGGCTACTCGCTCGCACATGCGTTTGTCGAAGCAAAAGCCAATGGTTGGAAGCTGGTCTCGGTACCACAGCAATGACAGCAAGCGCTCTAAATCCTCAACTCGCAGGGACAATGGATCGCCAGAAGTGTTCGGTGGCCTTGCCATGGCCTCAGGCAACCCCCGTTCCACAAGCCACGCCGTGATTCGCGATTTTGCTTCTTCCTCAGCCCTGCTGTCTGAAGCTCTTACCTCAATGCCCCCTCCATCCAAGATGTGAACAGCTGCTGCTAAGCCTGCCATGAGTTGTTTGAGATTCTGGCCTCGACGTCCAACAAAGTGAGGAATCAAGTCTTGTGGGCAGCGCCAAGTAGCTTGACTTTCAAGAATGATGCCCCTCTGTCGAACTGCTTCACGTAAGTTGAACGCGTTGAAACGCTTGTGCGGGCTCAGGACACTGAAGAATGAACGCCTCCTTCCAAAGAAATCCGGAGGCTCGCATCGGAAGAGGTCATGCGACAGTGGAACCTCAGTTCAACACGACTGTCGAGAAGGAAAAAGGAAACCTAGTGAGGCATGCTGGTGTGTGAATCGATTCTCTTTGGGCGTGTGATTCGTGCACAGCAAGAATGTCTCAACAAAATCGCATGTTTGAAGATGTTTAAAGCAACTTTGGGCAGCATGTCATTTTAGAAGTCATCCTTTCTACGTACCACCTGGTTTTGAGTCTTCTTCTGAGAGGTCTGCGTGTCTTCAACAAGATTTCTTGACGTGGATGATTCTCCAAACAGGCCGCTCTTCTCTGCAACTCCCACAGTACTTGAAAAGGGGTGAAGAGGTTACGGATCAGGTGCTTGCAGTTCCGAAAGCAGGCAAATCAAAACCTGGAACTAGACGACGAATGGCCCGGGAGGTTAGACACATGCATACAAAGCAAAATTTGGTTGTTGCTCAATATGTTTTTGTTTTCAATCAACGTGTGTGTGTGTGGATCACGCATCTTTTTACCTTGTCGCATCGCGACAGGGTGGCCCGAAAGCAGAGTGGGAGATGACACAAGGTAACGAGATGATGATGATGCTGATGATGATGATGATCATGACGATGATGATGATGGTGATGCTGGAAGATGTTGATGGTGACGGCCACGGTGATGATTGTCGATCTTGATGATGACAGCAAAGGCGCTAATTCCAATTCAAAAAAAAAAATATATATATATATATAGGTGTTTATACATGAGATAATCTCAAGATATACCTGTGGGGCCTCTCTTGCAGGGACACTCTTGCAGGACAGCGTTGCGGGATACCCTTGTGGGAACCTCTTGTAAAACACACTTGTAGGACACTCTTGCCTGACACTCTTTGTAAGGCACTCTTGCCTGACATTGCTAAAACAGTGTGGCACACTCTTGCAACATACGGTACGCCACAGATTCGATACAAAAAATGTCACACCAAGCCTCGCGGACACCGCGCAGTCCTCCCGCTCCCCAGCGACATGCTGCGACTGCGCACGCGTGCTTTTCATTTCTCCCTCACTGGCATGGAGCCACGCAAAGAAACTTTCCACCGAGGCTGCGAAAAAACTGCATGGTGCAGCGACACTGCAGACGAAACTTCTCCGCAAGGTGTGGACCCCGCCAACCATCCCCCGAGCGACACGCCGCCGAGGCCGCGCAAAACGACATGTCACAGGGCGGCACAGGGACATCACAGACATAATCTCGCCACGCAGTGCACCACAAACTAAATACAACAACAACGAAGCGCCAAGTCGTGGACACAGCTTAATCACCCCACTCCACAGTGACACGCTGCGGTAACGCGCGCATGTTTTTCGATTCCCAATGACACATAGCCACAGAAACAACCTTTCCACCGCAGAAACAAACTTTCCACAGTGGCCGCGCAATACTGCATGGCACAGTGACATCACAGACGAAAATTCACCGCAGGGTGTGCCACAGACTAGGTATAGAATAACGTAACACCGCCCCAAACCTTGTTCTACTTGGTTCACAAAGTTCCTAGTTCCGAGCTCGAGCTCCCAGAAGCTGCTGCCTGCACTACGTTCGTACTAGAAAGCTTTCAGTTGTCTGGCAACCGTTTCTCGAACTACATTCGTACTACAAAGTTGCCACTCTTGAGGCCACAGCTCTTCGAACTATTTCCGGACTTCCGGACCACAATCGTAGTACAAAGTTGCAGTTCCGAGGCCACAGCTCCCAGAAGCAGTTTCCCCGCACTACATTCATACTACACAATTGCCAGTCCTGAGGGCTCCCAGAAGCTACTCATCTGCAAAAGCCAAAAGCCGAATTCCGGAAGAGGCAGTATATATAATACATAGGCTGAATCCGGAAAGCCGAATCCCGAACAGGTTATCCCCTTGGGATAAGTTATATTAAGCATGTGGATGAAAGCTCACTGGGGTTTGTCGGATGTACAGTAAGTATGGGAAGCTGGAATCAACGGTACAAAATGCGTTAACCTTGCAGCTGCAGTTGGCGTTTAGGCGCATGCGACTTGCTCGGGTGAGAGGCAGTGGAGAGGTTGCGGCAAAAAACTCTTAGCAACCTTTGGCACCTGGAGGGCGTAGTGAAAGAGTGATTGCGATGATGGCGATGATGACGATGAGGATGTTGATGTTGATGACGGTGACCTTTGAGAAACTACGCCAGCATAGACCCCAGATAGCAACAGCGGCGCCGGCACCCAGCCTCCAAAGCGCACACGGCACCCTGCGCCATCATCTAGGCTCCAAAGCGCACGGAGCCATACATCCGGGAGCGGCACCCTGCAGCTAAGCTCCAAAGCGCACGAAGCCACACATCTGGCAGCAGCGCCCGGCAGCGGCACCAGCACCAAAATTTCAAAGCACACACGGCATGACATGACATTTGGCAGCAGCGCTCTGCAGTGGCACCAGCACCCAAGCTCCAGGCACCTCTTCAGGTAAGAACCGCAACAGCTCTAGCTATCTGAGGAAAAACCTTTCTGGAACAATAGACTACAGTGATCTACAGGGCATCATCCACTCATGGTCTCCGTGTGAAACCATACTCTGTGAAATGCGGTTATCACATGTCCGTGGGCTGACTGCGTATCAATTACACCAGCAAAGACCCAGATAGCTAGGCAGAATCCCACGACCTGTTGACATGCGACTGGCTGGAACAAGAATGTATGCAGCCTGCACAGTCAGCTTACGGCGCTTTGCCAGCTGACAACACCGGCAGCGGCACCAGCACCCGCGCTCAGCCAGCCCACAGAACCAGCACCCAGGACCACAACACCAGCACCAGCACCGACACCCTTTCGAAAGCGCCCGCAGCCAGCCCATTCTTATTTGCCGTCAGAACCCCATGGAGTTTACGCGCACAAAAGTACACGGGCAAACAGCAAAGCCCGTAAGTGTCATTGGCCCAAGGCCAAGCAGTATCCAGCGCCACTATTGATTTTGTAGCACGCTTGAAGCAACGATCTGTAGAACGATAAGGCCGTGTGATCTTGCGCGTATAAGTGTACGCGCGCAAAAGTATGCGCACAAACGGCAAAGACCGTAGGCTTCACTCGCCCAAGGCCAAGCAGTATCCACCACACGCCGAAACAATGGTCGGTTGAGAGCCTGACGTTGCGCAAAGAACTTTATGCGTACAAAAGTATGCGCGCAAACAGTACAGCCCTTGACACAGCTGTCGGCCAAAACAGAACCTGAAGAGTGTAAATGCCCCACAGCGCTAAAACAGCGCTCAAGGGACAACACCGTATGATGTTGCGTGCATAAGTTCATGCGGCCCATGACTGCTGGCACTTCACTGTCAGAAGCGGCGGTTGGTCACCCTTCACTGCTACAAGCGGCGGTTTGTCACCCTTCACTGTCAGAAGCGGGCACCAGCACCGAGCACCGGCGCGCCAGCTCACGGCACCCAGCACCAGCGCCCAGCACCGGTACCCAGCACCTAGCACCAGCACCCACTACCCAGCACCCGCCACCCTCTCTCCACGCGCACAGCCAGCACCCAGAGCAACGGCGCCCAGCACCGGCACCCTGTTTCCACCACGCGCACAGCCAGCCCACAGCACCCAGCACCAGCACCAGCACCCGGCACCGGAATGAGCACCGGAAAGCGCGCACGGCCAGCTCATTGTCATTTGAAGTAAGAACCACATAGCTGTCGCTATCTGGGGAACAAAACAAGATCCAAAAATAGACCCCCTCACATATGCAAGCTACACAACTTGTAAGGACCCAAAGGTCACGCGTAAGAACAGAAGAATCTCGAGAAAACACTGGATATACTAGATATACCATGATGTTCTGATTGCTGATTCTCTCACCTTCCCTGGAAGTAGCGGCACCCTGACTCACCGGCACCGGCACCCTGTCTCCAAGCGCGCACAGCTAGCACCCAGCACCGGCACCGGCACCCTGTCTCCACCAGCGCACAGCCAGCTCAGCTCACACACCAGCACCAGCACCCGGCACCGGCATCCGGCACCGGTTGGCCTGTCTGGGTGCTGGCACCCAGCACCGGCACCCTGTCTTCACCACGCGCACAGCCAGCACTGGCACCGGCACCGGCACCCGGCACCCTGTCTCCACCACGCGCACAGCCAGCTCAAGCACCAGCACCAGCACCGGCACCCGGCCAGCCGGCCCTGTCTGCCTCCACCACGTGCACAGCCAGCTCACACCACCAGCACTAGCACCGGCACCAGGCACCTGTCTTCACCACGCAAGCTCACAACACCACCAGCGCCGGCACCCGGCACCCTGTCTCCACCACGCGCACCAGCTCACAGCACCCCCTGTCCACCACGTGCACAGCCAGCACCCTGTCTACATCGCCAGCTCACAGCACCAGCACCAGCACCGGCACCCAGCACCCAGCACCGGCACCCTGTCTCCGCCACACGCACAGCCAGCACCCAGCACCGGCACCCTGTCTCCACCACGCGCACAGCCAGCACCCAGCACCGGCAGGGCACCCTGTCTCCACCACATGCACAGCCAGCTCAACAGCACCGGCAACCTGTCTCGAAAGCGCGCACAGGCAGCTCGGTGCTATTTGAAGTAAGAACCCCATAGCTTCGCTATCGGGGGAAATATCTAATCAGCTAATCCTGCAAAAGGACATTGGGTTTGGGGAGGGTAGTACAGTACTGTATAATATAATCATTAACATGCAGGTTTGGGAGTGTCTGTATGTTCATAGGCCTGGACATTCAATTACCAGGGTGGAGGTCTACCAAAGATGCCAATTTGACAAAGAGGCAGGCCGCTGTTCGCTCGTGAGCACATGCACTGGCTCAGTTCGAACTCGCGAACACCATTCTGCAACTGTACCGGCATTTGGCACGGTCGCCGACAACAGCACAAGTTTGACATGAAGAGGCAAAAGAACGAGGACTTCCTCCCATGCGTATCCTCTCTCTACATCGCCGAGGAAATGAGCTTCGTCAACGACAACGAAAGCAAAGTCATCCAAAAGATTTGGATCCCGTGCCTGCTTGTAGAGCATGCTTTGAAGAATCTCCAGCGTCATCACTACGATAGGAGCATCGCTGGCAATAACTGTGTCACCAGTCATGATGCCAATGTACTGCGCGCCAAAAGACTTCCCGAGCTCCAAAAACTTTTGATTCGACAGCGCTTTGATGGGAGTAGTGTAAATAGCCCGTTTTGTTTCATGCAAAGCCATGGCCACTGCATAGGTCGCAACTACAGTCTTGCCCGCAGATGTAGGTGCGCAAAGCAGCACAGATTCGCGGTGCTCAACACATGCAATGGCTGCAGACTGAACAGGGTCAAGCTCATGCTGGAAAGACCAAGAGTGAAGACTTGGGTAGAAAGACTGGATCAGAGGAGTGCTAATAAATGAAGGCCTGACTGTTCTGTGGACAAAGGTCTGACGTGATGGATGAGTGGTCCACCGCACTTGGATACTTTCTGGGTTCTCTTGCTCCACGCAATCTTCAGGCATGGCATCGCCATCCGGCCAAGCTGTCGTTTCATTGAACTCACTTGGAGATAAGCCAAAGATGCGCCGTGCTTTCTCGGCTATTCGAGAAGTTGTTGCAAAGACATCCACAAAGGAAAGGTCATCGGCGATTTGGACGTGGCAGTTACACGCACGGATGAGGCCGTGCATGGAACATTCTGAATCCTGCAATGTCTCAAGACCTGCCAACCTTTGTCGAAACCAAAAAGGACCTCCGGGCAATACCTGTGAACTGCCTCTCTGATCTTCTGGTTCCTCGCTCCTCTCACTTCCATCGAATGCTTCGGAAGCCCACTCGTCCTCTGCCGTAATGCCTAGGCTGTTGAGGTCTCGCAAATGCTCAGCATCCGAACGTGGAACAGCCCCAGCAGATTCCAAATGATCCTGATCCTCATCTTGGTCTTCAGGATCTGCTTCTGACTCGCTGGCACCATCCGACATATTCACCGCTTGGGCACCTAGAATGTAACTGAAAACGCAATACATGGATGAGTATCAAGTCATTTTATGGTCCACTGCTAAAATACAGAGCAAAGGTAGAGGTGGCAAGCTACAGGGTTACATCTGAGAGCACCAATGCATGTCAGTATGAAAAAAAAACACATCGGATTGTTTCCTGCATGAGAGAAGTGCTGCGACAATCCACACATCCAAAAGGACAAGTCAAATGAAAGAAGGAGTACACAAAGATCAATTCCAAGCTCATTCTTTCGATCTCCAAATTCCACGGATTCCCAACAATTCCTGGCCAAGTAAATACTTGGGAGACTCATGAGCACACACTTCGATTGATCAGTCTGTCCATTTGACTCCATCGCTTTCAAAGGTCGAAATCTCGGGTGTTCGTGCCACAAAAAGTTGAAAATGATATCTGCTCTCTCTCCATTTGGGAGATCGCCTGATTCCACGATCTGTGGAGACAGAGTTTACTATATCACAATCGGCGCAACCAAGAAATTCACCGTGTAGCAAGTATGTCATCAACTTCACAAACAATGAAATGTTCACGATTGACGCACAAACCGTCACCACCTCTAGTCCCACATCTTGGTAAACTTGGAGGCCAGTAGTTCGTCCACATGACCGTCCATGTGATCTTTCACAAACTCTCGTGAGCAGCCCCATTTCCAAGGCAGCTCAGCACACTAATAGCAATGGCCCTCCAACCTAATAGGCATGGCCTCCAACCTACTAGCGATGGAGGCCTAATAGAATGAAATACCGGCTTTCTGGTTGCGTCGTTTATCAGGCCCCACGGTGTGCCACACAAGGAGAGTGAGGGCCTAGCGCTCACTGTAGCTCGGCTCCCCGGCCGGGGACGGCAATCAACCACAGAATCAACCACAGGATGCATGTGTTGTTGTGCTTACGAATCACTTTGCTGAATCTGATCAGGAATTTGTAAGCCTGGTTCAGCCACAGCATTCGCCAGGAACGTCTTTGCTCACTGCTTCCCTGTCGGCTCTTCGTGATCCAAATACATCCATTCAGCTCCTGCAGGAGCGGATCAACGGGGCACCCCAACCTGAAATCTGAAAGGGAGGCCTCTCCCAACGCTACGAACGGAGCAAAGGGCATCGCTACTAGGAGCAAGGACGCTACTAGGGGCTCCTGGCATCGCTACAAAGGGCATCGATGCACCGCACATCCCAACATCTGTCCTCTCCGTTCGCGAGAACGAGCGCTCACCCAAGCTCGACCTCCTCGCGCCCGGGGTTGGTGGCGAACCTCGGGACCGACCGACCGGCACGCGCCGGCGAGGACGACCAACCTACTAGCAATGACCTCCAACCTAAGAGCTTTCTTGTTACTAGTAGCGATGCCAGGAGCCCCGAACGTAGCGTCCTTGCTCCTAAGAGCAATGGCCTCCAGCCTATATAGAATGAAACCGGCTGGACCAAGTGCGGCACCTTACGACCAAACTTGGGCAAAACTGGCCTTGGATTCAAGGCAACGCTATTGGCAGCATGACAGACCGAGGGTGAATCACGTGCGAGTCAGGAGCCCATGATTCCTACATAAAACTCCGTTGTTGTTGACTATATGAAGCTGTGGATTGCGATTCATGTTCGGAAAAAAAGAGCGCAGCACAAAAGATGAAACATGCGCAAAGATCTTCGCCTTCAAGGATTGTGCCATTGAGCTTCTCGATGGCATGCGAGGCCTGCAAGAACAATCTCAGCATGCTTTTGAAATCTTTGGAACTCTTTGGGCAAATCGTGTGGAATCCAAATTATTTGTATCTTTCATCATCCTTTCATGCATTCCTTCTGGATCTTGTGGGATTCCATTCGCTTCACCCTGTCGATCCAAGAAGGCCAATTTGCCTCTTCCACACTGTTCATCTCAACCAATGCATGGGCTTCACTCCTGCTCAGGTGAGATTTGGGTGTATCTCACTGAATCGAGGAATCGCGCAAGTCAAATGTTTTTGTTCTGACATCTCAAGTTCAAGTGGCAATTTGCCAAATGCCCCTATGTTGACGTAGAAATTGATAGAAATGGTCCCCAGCATGGTCGCAAGATCAGACTTGCCAAAGCCGGCAATCTCCAAGGGCGCTACTTAAAGACATTGCAACTATGGCTAAAATCCTGTCCCAGATCACTGAGTTGAAGACTGAAAGAATCTTCCCAACCCTGACCACTCCTTCCATGCTGCGATAGGAGTCGCATTCGGATGACCTGACCGCACTGCATAAAGCATGCCTTGGTTCGGCGGCCGAAGGCCAGAAGGTCGCAAACAAGTGAGCCAAAGAATCTGATCATTTGGTCAGACACGGAAGTGCAAGTCAGGTCTAAGCGTCAATAACAAAGTTAGCCCCGGTACAACAAGCTGAGGGACATCTCAATCCAATGCAAGCCAACCAGCTTGAGAGTTGCAAATGACTGATGCCTATGTCACAAAGTAATAATGATTTGAATCAATGCTTTCCACCTGGTATATATAACTCCTTGTTCAAACACATTCCATGGTCCATATGCAGCATTCTTTAGAGCGTTCTTAGCAACGTTGCTTGTTTTTTAATTCACATGCTTTGTTTGTATGGTGGAACAAACTATGAAGTTCATTTGACGAGTACATGGCAGGTGTGGAATTGTCCAACTCACCAACCCACTTTGAATCCATAAGATTCAAAGTGGGTCGACTTGGGTGGTAGAATTAATTCGAGCTGCCATGGTACAAGAGATCATGTTGGATTCTTACAAAATCGGATTGTTGATTGTCAGATTTCAACCAAGGTCACTAGCCTGTTTAAGGGAGGCCTCTGCAAGGCTCTTGCCAGTTATGGAGTTACGGTTTGGCTTTCGCGCAAGCAAGCATCCAACAGTTGAGCAAGCTTTCAAGTTTGTCTTGCTTTTCTTGCTGTTACTCGAAGATGTACATCGCTAACAGTCGAAAATATGGACAACGAGAATGGTTGCTTCACGACGAGTCTGGAGACACGTCAGATGCAAACACCAAGATGCTCTAAGCTCACTTTCTTTCGTTGTCAAGGGCAGGCCTAGCAAATGTGGCATGGTCCCGGTCAATACTGTAGAAAATTGTCTAAAAGTACAACTTGGTTACCATTAGCAAACAATGATTTCAAAACATCACCGCCGATTGTTTGCTTCGAACCACCAGCTTCCGCAGCCTGTGATGTACAGGTTGCACCCCGGTCTTTGATCCTGACAAAGTTGGGAAAAGGCTTTTGCTGTCACATTCACCAGTAAAAGTCCAAGTTGGGTTCCGCTATTTGTCCTGAGCAAAAATAACAAACAATTGTGAAATCAAGTATCCCGCAAGTACAGTTTACATGAAACTTCTACTGACACTATCAAGGAGATATACCATACCACAGGACCACTGTTAACTCCATGAGCTTCAATGGATAGCATCGATCACGAAGCTGCCAACACGTTGCATGGCCAACTCTCAGTCCTTTCCGGCATATCGGACTTTCATTTGAGGCAGGGCAATTGATGCAAGGCTGCTACCATTGAGCGCCTGCGCGTCTTCAACTTCACTTTGGCAAGGTCGATGAGAAATGCCACAGAGAAAGAGCCAAACATGAAGACTTGCCTCCACAGCTGATTGAGCCTCTGTTGTGGTGGACCTAAGTTGAGGAAGCCTTTCCACAGTCCTTGACCTTCCTGTCATGAGAAAGAAGACTTCAAACACTTGATACTATCCATATATTATAAATTAGAAATGACACTCTGGTTCTTTTCATCCAAGGAGCATCTGCACCAGGGCAGCACAGTCCAAATTCTCCCCAGTCGGTTCCATGACCTGCACTGTAAACCCAAGAGTCTGATTTGCAGCAAGCGCGGTCCATCCAATTGGGTATCATGGATCGTCAGAATGGTTGGGGAATCACGGCGTCGTGATCTTTCTCCGAAGGTTTGATCTGTGGATGGATCTTTTCTCGCGATGTCTCCAACATGCCAGGCCTTCAGTCTGACAACCTTGCCGAACTTTGAGAAGACCTTAGTGTCACCAGTCACTGAGGTCTGCATGTGACACTGCAAAGACTTGGAATCGGACAGCGCGCAGTTGAGAGTCGGGAGTGCCAAGGGGGAGTCCTGCAGGACAAAAGCAGCAGGACATGAAAAAGAGCCGGTCTCTACCTGAAAAAAAATGAAAAAAACAATAGGTAATCGTTGTCGTGCCAACACCACAAATTCCAAAAAGGTACTGTTCCATACTGTTCCCGATGTTTATGAGAATGGATTCCCTGCGGGCACGTCTACCTTCTCGCTGACGGACAAACTCATGGCTGACAAGGTGAAATTTATACCATTCAACAAATGGCTTACACTGCTTGTTCAGCTCTAATATGCTCTAGTTATATCAGCCATACGTCAGCCTTGGTCACGGTTATAGCGGTTGCATGTCCATTACATAGGGGTCCTTTCTTCGAGTGGTCGTCTTAGCATGGGCTTATCTGTACAATTGTCCTTATCGCAAGGGGTAGAAAAGGATCGCTGTTCAAGCCAATTGGTGGAAGCAACATTCGTTGCCTTGGCGAGTTAAACCTAAGTACTATAATATAAGTGAAGGTTGTTGTGTGCAAGAATCTACAGTCGTTGTGCTGCCAAAGCGTTCCTGTCATGCACATGCGGTTGGTCAAAACCGGAGATCACGAAAGTGCGACCTAGTTGGTCGTCTTTGGTACACATAAACGGCACAACAGCTTTCCTGCGTGAGCAAAATGCTCGTCCACAAACGGTCGCATCAACAGAGTGACACCCAATCAATCAATATTAGCCAAACCTACTTGCGATGGCCTCCAACCTACTAGCGATGGCCTCCGACCTACCAGCAATGGCCTCCAACCTTCTAGCGATGGCCTCCAACCTGCTAGCGATGGCCTCCAACCGACTGGCGATGGCCTCCAACCTATTTACTACTGTGGCAATGGCGTCCAACCTAAGAGCGATGGCCTCCACCCAATCAATCAATGTCAACCATTGAGCCCATCCTACAGGAATTGTCCGGCTCC